CCCCTGCTCTGGGCCCCATTGGCACTGACCCCAGGGCACCGGTGTGGGCCCCGTGCTCCCGCTGCCTTCCTGCCCACTCACTCCCAGTGCTCCCCAGTCCTGTGGTACAGCCCCGATCCCCTGCTTGCTGGCAGGGAAGAAGCTGGTGCTGAGCGCAGGGAAAAGCGGTCCCTCGCACACCCCGTGGCTGGCGCTCCCTGCTGCAGGTGCTTGCAGCCCATGCGGGGCTGCCTGGAACAGGCACAGGCAGCTGCACGTGGGCTGTAAGAAGCTTCAGCGCAGGGCGCCGGCCACACGGCAGGGGATAGGACGCGTTTTTCTGCGCCCATCAACGGCTTGTACCCGGGCCCCGCTGCCATCCTGGCAGTGGGGCCGGGTTACAAGCTGGTGCTGAGTGGGAGGGCAGGGGGGGGAAGCAGCCCCTCCCTGCCCCGTGCCTGGCGCCCTGTGCTGCAGCCACTCGCAGCCTGCCTAGGACTCCCTGTGCCTGCTCCAGACAACCCTGCATGGGCTGCGAGTGCCTGCAGCAGGGAGCGCTGACCATGGGGCAGGCAAGGGGCTATTTTTCTCCGCACAGGGAAGGAGTCCAGGGAAAAGCTGAGCGCGGGGAAAAGCGGCCCCTCCCCCACCCCATGGCCGATGCTCCCTGCTGCCGCCGCTTGCCGGCCGCTCAGGGGGCTGTCGGGAGCAGGCACAGGCAGCCCCACGTGGGCTGTGAGCAGCTGCAGCACGGGGCACCAACCACGGAGTGGGGAGAGGGCCGCTTCCCTCCACCCCGTGCTCCTTCCCTGCCTGGTACCCGGGGTCCCCCTGTTCTTCTCCTCCCCACTTACCTGCAGTTCCAGCATGGGGAGCCATGTGCTCCCAGGCCAGAAGCCTGGCAGGGGCTTCCAGCAGGCCGGGTGGGCCCCCCTGTTGTTGGAGCCCGCTGGGCTTCCCCTGGGTCCTACTGCCCTTGGTTCCTGTCATTTTTTTACAGGAATCAAGGGCAGAGAAATATTAATTTTCTACATTTTTTAGAGGCCTGGTGGGCTGGATAGAATGGCCTCACGGCCATATTTTGCCCACCCCTGGATTAGATAGTTGGGGATAGCCCTGCTTTGAGCAGGGAATTGACTTAGATTACCATTTCAGGTCCCTTCCAACCCTCATTTCCTATGATGCTATGAATAGTAGTTCAAAATGAGAAGTTGAAGGGCAGAATTTTGGTTTCCTCTTACGTCTAGTGGGATTTTAACACGTGAATCAGCATTTTAAAACAACTTTCTTTCTGCTTTTGACCCAATTGAATGCAAACCAAATAGGCCTAAAATCAAATGTAGGAATACTGGTTCATGTCTTCCCTTGAATAACTAGCCATAATGCAAAATAGAAAATATGGCAACTGAAAATAGGTTAGATTCTTTTTTTAGTTTTGTTTTGAGATCTTTTGGTTTGGTTGTTCAAGCCCCTGGAAGAAAATGGAAATCTTTCTAATCGGCTTTAATGTTTTGGGGATCAGGCAGATCCTCATTGCTTTATCTAGTAGAAAGGGTGATGTGAATTAATGACTTGCTAAAATTGAACAGACTCTTCATATCAATTAATACCAGACTCCTCATGCATACCAATTACATTTTGGGGAGTACCACAGCCTGTGATAGAGGTCATATGGGGTTATATTTCCCTCTTCATAACCTAATCCTCTCTTCATAACCTAATCCTGAGTGATTTTTTTTTTTTTTTTTATTTCCTTCTCTTTCAAAAAAAAAACCCCCCTCCAAATCTTGTTCCATGACACGGCCCCAGTGAAACAGAATTTGAAAGGGAGCTCCAAGGGATTTTCCCAGTCCTTTTTTGTTAGACTGAAGTAACCATCTCCTATTTCTTCCTTACCCACATCATGACTAACATGTGGCCTGTATACCAATTAAAACATTCTAAGAAAGACTTGTTCTAAATGTAGTGGTGCTTTCTGAACAAGACAGAGTGTATGTAGTTTTAGCCTGTGTTGTAAAGGCTGTCCCCTCTCAAGTAGCTAACCACTTCTGAATTTCTGTGCAAATGGATTATTTGGTCTACTAAAATAATACCAAAAAGATGTATTGTATCAATGAGAATAATGTCAGATTTCTGTTCTGACATTGTCAAAGGACTTTTGTCCACAAACACCGCTTATATATAGAAGTTTTTGTGTTGGATAATTAGATCAAGAGGAAATAAATCCATTCTTGCTTTGGTTTTGATTAGCTGTTGATATGCATATGTAAATATATTTGTAATTTTTCAGGTTTCAAGAGAGGTGCAGATCCTGGAATGCCTGAACCAACTATTTTGAGGTATATGTACATTGTAACTACACATGCAAGAACAGTGAACTAAAACAAAAATTTAGACTTCTTTTAAGCAGAGGTTGACAACATATGGCTCACAAGACTGGTTCGGCTGGGAGAGCCACCAAATCAGGCTTGCAGAGCCCACTGGCTTTATTCATGGATTCGTAGATGTTAGGATCGGAAGGGACCTCAATAGATCATTGAGTCTGACCCCCCGCATAGGCAGGAAAGAGGGCTGGGTCTAGATGAATCTGTCGAGATTATCTATGTCTGCTTCAGGGCTAAGCTGCAAGGAGCTGTGCTAGGCAACTTCAAGCTGTGCCTTTGTCACTACTGCTTCTTCTCCCAGCTTCCCTCCCCAGCTGAGGCCTGGGTGCAGCTGCTAGCTGGTGGGGAACTGTGCTGGGACTGGCAACTGTAAGCTGCACCCACCCTGCTGTCACTTCTCCCTCACCCCCCACAAGGGCCCTACTGCAGTATTGCTAGAAATGTTCTAATGGCCAAGAAGAAACTCATACTGGCTGTCAATCTGAAATGGAGATTGGACAGTCAGAAAACTGGAAATCTTGCAGAATACTGTTCAGCTGTCCTGGTAAATGAGAAGAAAGATTTGTGCAGCAAAAGAGGTGAGGGAGTATCTCTCACTCCACTAACTGAAAGTTGTTTTTTCTTTCTTTTTTGTTTAAGGGGGGTGGGGAAAACACTTTAGAACACATCACTACACCTCTTAAATCTTGTGTGGATGTAGAAGTTTACTATACTATTAGAACTCTATTGGCTCTTCTCTTTCTTAGTATAACTCCTTTGTGTGAGCTGTTCCTGCACCTCTGAATTTCTCTACTGCCTTCTTGTCTAGATTAAAATAATGTTCTGGGATGGGGATTGTCATGCACAGTAGACAGAATCTCTCCTCCAAAGAGTTAGGCTGACTTCAGAACCAACTTGTCCTGCACTCGGTTACAGTCTAAGTTGCATACAGTGCACTTGTTTCACAATGGGAAAATTACCCAACCTGTGGGGGTTGGGTGGCTGATCTCCAACTCATTACAACTGGTGTCACTGTTGAAACTCCACCCTGAAACTGACCAGGATCTTCTAAATCATGTAGTTTAACCAAAATAGTTCAGGTTCTGTTAGCAGAAATGAGTGCCTTTTGTTATGGCTTTCTTGTGGCAGTAAAACCCATCACTTTTATCAACTCTGCAGGTCATAAAGTGATCAGTGTGGCCCCTTTAACAACTGGTGCCTCAAGATGCATCTGTGTACCCTCCCAGAATAACAGCAGTACTGGACTCTGGCAGAAGCAGTACAGATATATACATACTCTGTCTCTTCCTTGTGACAGCTGATGTCTAGATCCTAGGTCCTGTCAATTTCAAGGGTAGTAGTAAAGTTAAGGAATTCTGACTAAGAATCTGAGGTATTCATCTTAATCCCAACAGGCTCAGGGCATCTTAATGAAGGTGAATTGCTGAGCAGAGGCTGAGGGCACACTCTGAGTACTTGTATTAGGATATTAGAAAAATAATGCTAGAAGGAATTTTGTACTGTTGTATAGTTCATTCCTTTACTCAGGGCAAGATCATCCCTATTTAAACCACCTGAAACAAAATAGTTATCCAATCTATACTTACAACTTCCTGTAAGGGAGATAGGTAATCTTTTCCAATGCTTAATCATCCTCATGTTTAGAAAATTCTTCATGATATTAAATATAAAGCTCCCTAATTGCAATTTAAATGTTACTTGTCCCCTGTGGACATAGGGAACAGTCAATTTCTATATTGTTTAGAATAAGCCTTAATGTATTTAAAAACTTAAAATCCTTCCTTCATCTTTTCTTTAGACTAAATAGCTCCAATTTTTCCAGTCTTTCCCTGTATCTCATAATTCTATGCCTATAATACATTTTGTTGCTTTTTGGAGTGTGAAAAGCTGAAAACAGGCTGGTTAAGGTATCACCCTTAGGAGTACACATTTAATTCATAGACAGTGCTTTGCAAACCTTTTAGGCCAGGGAAGCCCAGCCCCCAGGCTAAATCCAACCTGCAGAGCCATGGCATCTGGGCTGCAGGGCTCCCCATGGTTTAAATTTGGCAGTGAATGAACAGTGGCAGGTAATACGGCTGCACCTCTCCTGCTGTTAAATTCACAAGCCCCACCTGGCCAGATTGAGGCCAGGCCATGCCTCTTCCCCTCTCCCATGCCCTTCCCTCAGTGAGGACAGATTGGGGCTGAGCCATGTCCTTTTCCCCCTGCACAGCTGGATCGAGAAAAAAGATGTAGATAGGAAACGCTGAGCGTGTCTATGCATTCATTAACATGCCTTAGATACTGCGCATTTAGTTTAGTACTTGCTTAATAAAGTACTAACTGGATGTGCAGTAATGCCAGCACATGATTACTTGTGATGCTTACTGCGTGTTAGCCTAATAACACTGCATAATAGGCTGTTAGCATGGTTTTTGACAACCACGCTACTGTGCAGTGTTACTTAGCTAATACGCAGTAAGTATCTCGTGTAGATTCACCTACTGAGTTGGAATATGGCAGGTTCCCACAGGTTTGTAGAGTAGCCTTCAGATCTTGTGAGGTAAATTGGAAAGCACTTGTATTATGTTGGTAAGGCCCTCTATGTTAGAACCTCTATTCTAGTGCTATCCAAACAAACATTTCATCCTTGGGTTTTCCATTGACTAAGATGGGAAAATCTGAATAGACTTCAGTTTAGAGTTTAGCACTGAAAATTCAGAAAGTGGAAGTTAAGGTTAATTCTTCATGTATGTGTGATAATAGGATCATTGTATGATCACAATTATCTAACTTGTTTAGTAGGCTTACTTGTTGCTCTTCTGAACAGGCTCAGGCCAGCTTACAGAAAGAGGGAATGAAATAGTATGGCGCTCTGTTTTTATAAAATAAATAATTAGATGTTATTGAGTATCATTGATTATTAATTTGATTCAGTATGAACTTGACATTTTGAAATTAAGTGCATTCTTTATTAAAATTTTTCTCTGCTCAGGGTGGATGAAAATCAATAATTTAAAAAAAAGGATTATTTTATTTAAATTAATGTTTTTATTTAATTGCATTTTTTGTTAAGATGCTTTAAAAAAAATAAACTCATATAAAGATAGTTTTAATTAAAGACGCTTTAATTCTCTGCAAGTTTGTGTACACAAGTCAAGCTCTTACCTTTCTCTAAAAGTGAAAAGTTTCAGGAAGTTAACTGAGTAAAGGATATCAAACAGTGATTAATGTTAATTAATGAGACTTCCTGACCAATGATTTAAATAGATTTGATTTAAATCAAATCCACCCTCCCTCTGCTGCATTTATATATGCTTATTTCTTATTGCATGGTGCTAATAACCTTTCATTGGTAGTATTTTTATAGCTATCTCTACTTTTTTATTTTATTGAAGTGTGTTTGTAAATATTCAGATTTTCATAGAATCATAGAAAAGTAGGGTTGGAAGGGACCTCAGGAGGTCATTTAGTCCAACCCCCTGCTCAAAGCAGAGCTATCCCCAACTAGCTCTTTCCAGCCAGGGCTGTGTTGACCCGGGCCTTAAAAGCCCCCAAGGATGGAGATACCCCGCTTCTGTGGGTAATCTGTTTCAGTGCTCCACCACCCTCCTAGTTAAAGATTTTTTTCACATCCAACCTAAACCTCCCTTGCTGCAACTTGAGACCATTGCTTCTTGTTCTGTCATCTGTCACCACTGAGAAAAGTTTAGTTCAGCGGTGGGCAAAATGGCGGATCCATCCGGCAGCTGAATTCTATTTCCCAGCAGCCCCTGCCTGGGTTGCTGCAGCTCACTTCCATGGAGACCCTACTAGCAGCGGCACCCTGATAGTGTGGAGCCAGGATTTCCATGGAAACTGGCCTGAGCAGCACTGGCAGGGAGAGCAGCTGGGTGGGGAGCTGTACCTGGGCTGGGGCTGGGATTTTGCAATGGTCACAGCATGGTTCAGAGCTGAGCAGAGCTGTGATCTACTGCCTGCACGCCCCTGCCCAAGACATGCGAGCAGTGGATCACAGCTCTGCCCAACTCTGGACCACACTGTCACTATCCCAGGATGCCAGTCTTGGAGCAACTCTCCACCCAACTGCACTCCCTGCGAGGGATGCTGGGGCCCGTCTCCACGGAAATCCTGGCCCTGTGCTGTCACCGTCCTGCTGCTCTTGGAGTCTCCGTGGAAACTGTCCGCAGAACCATGGCCAGGGGCTGCTGGGAAATGGAGTCTGTAATGGGTTCAACCCTGGTTTTAGCTTTATCCTCTTTGGAACCATGCTTCAGGTAATTAAAGACTGCTATCAAATCCCCCCTCACTCTTCTCTTCTGTAGAATAAATAAGCCCAGTTTACTCAGCTGTTTTTTTTTTAGTTTTTTGGGGTTTGGTTATTTTTGGGTTTTTTTAGTTTTCCATGTAAGAGACTTGAAAGTGAAACTGCATTTACTTCTCCTTTTCATGATGGAAACTTCAGTTATTCCTTGATGGGAAATATTGCATCATCTATCAATTTTGTTGCTAAAGACAATGATGGCTTAAACTTTTATATGTAAAATATGTTAACTCTGTTAGCCTCCCTCTATTTAAACAGTAGGGGAATTCCATTTTCAGGAATCTGTGATGTAGAAAAACTTTTGTTGAAATCTGAGCCACCTGTTCAACCTTGGAATTCCCACTGTCTACAAGTTTTAATATGTACCCCAAAGCAGGATTCCAAAACTTTGGATGCTGAGTGACGAACTGCCTGCAGCTAGCCAATAGGAAATTGAACTCCATCCATTCTCCTGATACTAGACAACTCTTTCGACTCAAAGTCCAAAGCACCAAGTTGTCTAAGGGTAGTTGTCTAATTGAGCACAGTGTGATAATTATGGTGTACACATTTCGCATATTAACCTCGTGGTTAAATCACTTGCCCAAGAAAAGCACAGGCCCTCCTCAGCTTGAGGAGATGCAAATCCACATCTCCCAAGAGAATACTGTTACTACCATACTATGGAATAACATTCACCCCTCCGTGAGGCTGGGTTACTGTGCAGCCAAGAATTCAAGAATTATTTAGCCAGAGAAAAAACAAATAAGGGAGCATGCCTATAGCTTAATGATGAGGAAATTCCTCTAGAAGGGTGAGAGAAAGGAGAGTCTTAGGTTCTGGTCCTTTCTCTCAAATTTATTTTTCATTTTATATGTTGATTGTCTCATGTAAAATACTTGAAGTCCTAGGAATAGGGACCAGACTGCAGAACTCCCGCTCCTGCAGGCTCTTACTGATGTACTTTTGCTTAATTAAGCATACCTTGGGTAGGCTCAGCTCATGTGTAATGGATCAGACCTTTTGGGTCACTAGACAGTGTTTTGACACTGCCTCATGTCTGTTCTGGATTGCAGCTGAGCTTAGCTTGGAGCTGGATGCAGTAACTGCTCAGGTTGCTTTTGTACCTGTATGGGAATCAGAATCTTTGCCATCAAAATATGGACACCAGATGATTTTAGGTGCCCCAGCGCATTTTGTGGCCCCTAGAGCAAAGGCATTCTTCATTATTTTTGTGACTTGGACACCTAAATTCTGCCAGACCTAGTTAAGTGTATATTTTACCGGGTTGGATCCGACACGAATGGTCTTCATGTTTTTTACCTAACTAGCCCTTTGAAGTAATTTTCTCAACCTAATATGCGTAGCTACATAGCAGGAGTGAAATAATACAGGTTTCCCTCACCAACTGCTGTGATTAGGTTCCTGAAAGTTCCTATGGTTGGCAAAATCGTGGTTGGCAAGACAAAAGGCTAATGGGAAAAATGGCAGGTGGAGGGCTGATGCACAGCTATGGAAAATCATGGTTACTCAAAACTCTATACTGTGGTGGTCAAAATGGTATCTTAAGCATGGATACTCAAAATTGTGGTTGACAAAACTGTGGCTGACGAGGGAAACCTATATGCTTCTCACAGCACAGTATGTTTTCTGATATGAATCCACTGAAAAGAAAGTAAAACAAAATTGCTCTACCCCTGGGCCAACTCCTCCTGAGCTGTACCTGGCAATTCCCTTGAGGAGGTATGCTGGTTCTCCCCTCCCTGTCCATTGCCAAGCTGATTATCCTACAATCTGTGGCTGTGCAAATGTTCCTGAGAACTGCTAGCACACTGTTCCTATCCTGCGTGCACCAAACCACATGCACCTTGCAGATTGTGTCTTTGCCTCATGTTTATACATGCCACAGTTCTCTAGGCAGGGAAGGCCTATCTCTGGAGCTCCATCCATGGAGTTGGGTGAGCCCTTGAACACCACTGCCTCCTGCTTTAAGCTGCCTTGAGTCTGGGGTGTGTAAGCAGTGGAAAACTCCAGGTTCCTGTGGGAAAGGCTGGCCCTGTCTGAGCTGAATTGAAAATCAAAGTGAATGGAGTACTGTACGGTGAAAAAATACCAGGGTGAACAATACTTTTGCTGTATTGTTTCATCCCTGCTGTCCATTATACCAACTCGTGACAATAAAGATCTGACTTTTTTTCCTTTTCTTCTAGTCTTCTTTGGGGATGAAAGATTTGGCTCTACAGTACTGTAATCATTTGATGGGCAGAAAAAATGGTTGAAGACGTGACCATTCCACAGGATAAGGAGAACATTTGCCAATTGCACCAACTAGCTTGTACAGCATCCTGAGGACATAGATGTACATAAAACAAAATGTATTTCTACTGATGTAATTTATTTGCTTTGCACTGTAGTTAAATAAATACACTTTGATTCAGTGTGTCCACTCTGATCCTTTAAGATTCACTTAATATGGAGACATTTTGAATTTTTTTAGTTAATATTTTAAAATTATATATCAATGTTTTTGGTGGAAAACTTTCAATCCTTTTAATCTGGAATGTTACTTCCATAATGTCCTTGTACAGGATAAAATATGCACCAATTATTGACTAAATAGACTTGAGGATTCTCTGACTAATTCTGTATTCTCAGGCATATCATGACTCAGCCTTTATATTTCAGTCTTGCTTATTATGATATGCTTATTATGATTCCTGTCATTCAGTGTATAGATTAGTTCATCAGGTATTCTGAAGTGTAATGTTTTAAAATGCTTTAATCTTTAAATGTAAGAATCAGAATTTTCTTCAGACTTGAAAAGTAGTGGTATCAGTGAGCTTCAAGCTATGTATCTGTAGCTGTTTAGCCTGTCTGAGACACAAGGTAATGGTGCTATTTATGGCTGTAGGTACATCTGGGAGAGTGAGAAAATGAATATAGAGGAGAATAAAAAGACTTAAGTATACCGGATATTTGTGCTAGAATATCATTAATAGAGTGAACAACAGTGAAATTCTCATTATCGTCAGTGAGATTTGGAACCAAATGGGAGCAGTTCACCATTTTGCAAGACTTCTTATTTCAGACTCTCTTTTTATATAGAACAATATTGCAATTTTTTCCCCTCAAATTGTAAGAACTATCACCTTATAGTCCTTAAATTTACATTCTGCTGATTCTGAAGGATCCTAGGAATATACCAGCAGGCAAGATTTTTGTGCCATAGCTTTAATAAACTGCATAAAATCTATTAATTTATTAATATTAGTGAAAGTTACTTTTGTGCATGGAGGGAAACTGTAATGAATAAGATGTACATTTAAGTTTTTCTGCAACCACAGGTCCAGGTAAAATATAATTTAAAGCAAAAACATTTAACAAAGCATTGCTTTTGGAAGTAGGTTAAGAGGTCTTTGCCTCTGTTAAGTAGCAATGGCTGATAAAGCTTGTCTCTTCCAAAATGTGATAGGCTGGTCTGTATTTGTGCAGTTATAAAATAACAATGTAGTTATATTCTCAAGTAGCAATATAATACAACCTATTTAAATAGATAACTTGCTTTCTCTTTTTGACAGGCACAGAGTTTGTTTAAATTATTACAGTATATATTGTCTCCTTTTGTTAGTATTTTGCAGTTCTAATTGTGATACAGTAATATTAGTAAATCAGCTGTATTTGTTGTGGAATGAGACATTTTTCCTTTTCTGTCTGCTATCAAAAACACTCACTCTACCCATTGGATATAAGAAAATGGGTCAATGTGCAGTAATGAAGTAAATCATCACAATGAAAATTTATAAATAGAAAATGGGGGGAGACAAAAAGTGAAAAATAGTGGGGAAAGATAAATAAACAAGAATTAAGAAAGTACGTAAAGGTAGGATAAGAGAATACTAAAGGAACAAAAAATGGGCAAAACCCAAGTAAATATAGTATGTCTAAAAAACCCCAACCATAATGGCTGTTAAATGAATTGGTGCTTAAAAGGGGGGCAGGGGAGGAAGGCAAAGGTTGGCAAAATAAATTGATAGCCAGAGGCAATTAATGTTAATAAATTGCTGGTTGGAAGGGAGGGGGGAAAACCTCAAGGGGTTAGCATAATTCTTCCATGACTCCTAACTTTTTTTTGTTTCTTCCACCTTTTCTCAATGTCAGTTTGAATTCATTGTGACCACACATGTCTAAAGATATTTGAAGAAGTGCAAGACTTGGGTCTTTGTCCCTCCTTAGCACAGTCTGTGCCATCCTGTTTCTGCAGTTCCTGGCACTTCTGATTGGCTTCTTTTAATACTACTGTAGTGCAGATAAATATTTTGATCCTGTTTTAACCATTATGCAGAAGTAGCAGGCACATTTCTTTTCCATTGCTTTCAGCAGAATACCAACGGTGTGCAGCAAGAAGATCAGTACCAAAGTAGTTTGGATTTTAAAGGTAAATCATTGCTTCCCTTGGTTGCACAATGTCCAAAATAGAAGAAATTTAGTCAGTTTTCAAATAGGCAAACCAAGACAGTGGGGCATTCCACATTCCAGGTGGTGCCTTATGTTGGACCTAATTTTTATAGTTAAAAGTAGCAACATTTTTCAATATGCAGAAGAATGGGCAGTCTAGCATGTTTTAAGAAAAAAAATGCCACAAATATATGGCCCAATCCTGTATCCTTCCTGCAGAGAATTTCCACTGAAACTTTTTAAAGTTTTAAAACGACTACTTGTTTAATATGTCATTCAAAATGTCTTATTAGGTGAAATGGAAATAGTCTTTTTTAAGGTAATCTGTGCTAATTTAGTAATGCTACTGTGAATGGATACACATCAGATTACTGCATCTTTATTTTTAAAGAAACAGCCAGAATCCATTATCATGCATTCTTGGTTATGTTTTTAAATCTCTCATTAAATATTAAACCAGGAAAGGTATGCTTCACTTGCAGATCATATTAGACCACGTTTAATTGAAATTTAGTACTTAGAGCATTCTTGCATCTTCAGATTTATAAAGTGCAGGGTTATGTGTGTGTCTGGTTCTATAACAAATTAATAACTTCTGTGCATGAGATTAAGTGAGTAAGGGGTATCCTTAAACGGTAGTATTTCATAGCTTATATCCTGTTACTTTGCTTATAACAATTACTTGTTTTCTAAGTAAATTTCAGCTTTAATAAAAGATTATTAGTGATGTCCTGTATTTTACAGTTGTTTTGAAGATGGTTGTTGGTTTTAAGGAGATCCTTCATAGCTGTTCTAAGACTTGATCAGAAGAGCTGCTATATAATCTTTTGACCAAATGGATGTTCATTAGAAAATACAGGTTCACCTAATGCTCTTGTGGAAATGTACTAGCTCTGGACTAAAATTTTGCTTGGAAAGGTTTCTTAGGTCCAGAATGGTCAGAACCAGAGAGAAAGTCCCCCACCTTAGAATAACAAATAGCCTTGGCAGTCATGGTTGTGGCTTGATTTAGGCCAGGGACTCAGCATCTTGCTTTGTCACATTTTAAGTGAGTGCCTTTACCACCCAACCTCTTGGCTATTGCTTTTCCACCTTGGAATGGGATTTTTTTTTCTTTTACTTCCTAATGTTTTTGCTAGATGGGAAAACTTCCCTGCTGTTCAACATTTTGGCTAACATGATGGCCAGAAATATTGTTAATTTTTTTTCATTATTTTAAAAAACCCTTGTGGGATTGAAGATAAGAGAGATTGCTGTACTGGGTTTGTCACTTCAGTTATTAAAGTATACATAATCTTATCCTTAGGAAGCTTGTCATCAATAAAAATGACATTAGCTTTGAAGTCCATATCCATAGTCAAAAAATTACAAACTGCAAAATCAAATTGTGTTTAATTCAATGTTTCATTATGTGAAATTTTTCAGCAGGTACGTGTCTGCCTTTAGCACGCATAAAAATTATATCAGTGTGTGTGTTTTGGTAGAAATAATGTGCAAGGCTATATTTTGCAAGAAAAGACTAGTTGGCAATGTCTGTATATGACCAACTGATTCATAAGGTATGTATTTCTAATGCATAAAACTGAGGACGTAACACATTCTGTGCAAAATGAAAATACCTGAAATGTCAAAGTCATCCTCCAAGTATTTTTGGAAACACTACTTTAGAATTGGAACCCATTCCATAATGGTAGTCGCAGTGAAATCTAGAAGTAAAATCTCATTACGTTTTTTCTCACAACATGATTTAAGACCACATCCTAAGAAAATCTCATGACTATTTTAATTTTTGCAAGTGATTTGTTAACTCATTTTTAAGAGTTCTTGACCTCATTTAGGCATTTCTCGGGTGAGGTGCAAGTTTCACATACAGTACTTCTAGCCTTCTCTTACATTACTGTGGTATTTTTTCTGTTTGGGAGACAAAGGTTGGAGGATGTCAGGGTTGGAGGTTGTCTGTTGGAGGAACAAAGGCAAGTTGCTTCCTATACCTTTTTTGGCCATGAAATGATCTATTTAACTTACTTTTTAGTTAACAGTGCTGTGAGTTGGTGGGTGGTTACACCAGCTCCAGATAAAATAAAGCTCAAATGCTAGTTACCCAAAGAACCTGGTCTTCCAGTTGAGTTTTAATGAATTTTCTTGGGGTCAGCTTTATAATAAAAGCAGACCCCAAAGCATTACTACTGATAACTGCCAGCAGATGCCTTTCCATCAAGATTAGAAATTACATGCACTCTTTCTTTATATAGCTTTTTTTGGAAGCACTTGCCTTTTTGCTTTATACTCCCATTCATTCTGTTTGGGAATTCCTTCTAGGTTGAAATTTAAGGAGTATCTTTTGTCTTTTCTTGGCTATTTGTAATCTGTGATTAATCAGTCTGACATGCTTCTTGATTGAGGGTTCTGTAGCACTGGATAATATATATTTTTGCCTTCCCTCCCACATGTGTATTAGGGCTGTGCTCTAGTATGGAAAAGTCAATAATTTTCTTATTTTGCTTTTTTGACCTGAGTTGCATTTTATGGGGCTCTTCCTGCCCTCTGCAGTATTACCACATGTGAGGGTATTAAGTGTTTGTTCAGAGTAGATCCAGAGATACCTATATAAGTATGCAAAGGGTATAGAGCTGTTATTATATTTGTAGTAGTGGTTTTTTATTTGCAGTTGCTGCTTTGAAGACAATTGAATTTTATTTTAATTTGTTCCCATGGAATTTTGTCACTGGTTTCAGTGGGAGAAGAGTTAAATTATTTATGTTGATTTTAGCTATATACTGAACAATCAGGTCAAATTCAGTGTGATAAGGTGAATTGTCTACCTGGCTTTTAGGTATTTTTCTTAACATTTCTTAACACTATTTTTGTTGGTTTTGAATCCATTAGCCCCTTTTTATTCTACATGGATGTTCATTTTCATTTGTAAACTCCACTTGTAAATTACATTTTGAGTAGGGACCTGGTCATCCCCCCCCACTGAGACCCCT